TATAGAGGCGGGGGGGCGTGGAAATCTGTACACATGAGTGTATTGCCCACAGAGGCCAAAAAAAGGATAGCAGATTCCTTGGAGCTGGAGTTGCAGGTGGTTATAAGCCACCTGAGGTGAGTGCTGGGAGCCTAACTTGGGTCCTCTGCAAGAACAGTACACACTCTTTACTGTTAATCTAAAGTAACAAACCATAACTGCTCCAGATCACTTTATTACAGCAAGATCACTATAGACCTGATAGTTTATGCCTTTTTAGTGCTAAATAATATTCCATTGCCAGAATGTACCAGTTTATCCATTTACCTACTGAAGGATATCTTGGTTGTTTCCAAGTTTTAGCAGTCACACATAAAATACCTTGTACTATAAGCATAATGTACACATTTTTGTGTAGATGCAAATTTTTGACTTGTTTGTGTAACTACTAAGGCATGTAGTTGATAGACCATCAGATAAGAGTATGTTTTATTTTGCAAAAAACTGCCAAACTGTCTTCACAAGTGGCTGTAAGACTTCCACCAGCAGTGAGTCCTCCTGTCAGTCCCTGTTCTCGCCAGCATCTAGTGTTGTCAGTGTTTTGGATTCTGGCCATTGCAATAGGCCACAGCTCATAGCTGTTTTAATTTGCAATTCCTAGTGACATAGAATGTTGAACATGTTTTCACATGCATGTTTGAGATCAGTGTCCTCTCTAATGAGGTTCTTGCTCAAGTCTTTTGCTTGAGCAGAAATATTTTTAAAAATATTTCTTATTTATTCTTTGACAGTATTATGCATGTATATATATATAATGTATTTTGATCCTACTCACACCCACTACCTCTCTTATCCCCTCCCACTTCCTCTGAACTGTTTCTTCTCAATAAGCTTCCCTCCTGTTTTTATATTTTTAATTTTTTAAATGATCCATGAGTTAAATTAGGGTTGCTTTATGAGGATGGGTGTGCAGTTATTTACTGGGGCCTAAGCAACTTGCCAGTAACTATAATACTGAAGAAAAATGAGCCCCCTTCCCAGCCATTAACTGCCAAAATAGCTCCTCAGCTAGAGGTGGGTCCTCATGAGCCCCTCCCCTACCCACAATGGAGTCTTGACAGCCCCGTCTTGTGCAGGTCTGATGGCTGATGTAGTTCATCAGTACAATGGCCATGTCATGACCAGGAGACAGCATTTCACAGCCCTCCTTCCCATCTTCCTGCCCTTACATTCCTTCAGCTCCCTCTTCTGCAGTGTTCCCTGAGCCTTGCAGCAGGTAATATAGAAGTCCCATATAGGGCTGAGCTCTCAACAGTCATTCCACACTTTGACCAGTTGGTAGTCTGTACATTAACTGCCACCCAGTGCATTGAGAGGCTTCTCTGACCAAGGCTGAGAACAACACTAATTATGAGTATAAGCATAATTTTAGAAGGCAGTTTGACAGTATGTCCATTTATTAAAACAACAATAGTAGGTTCCTCCCTAGGTTTTTCCCATTAAAAATTTTTAACTGTTGAGTTCTAAGAGATTTTTTTGTATATTTTGAGTAACATTCTTTTATCAAAAGTACCATATTTAAATGATGATTATATTAATGTAAGCATGAAATAAGAAGAGGAAAACCAGCATAAAGATTTTAAATTTGGTGGGCAGTTAATCCCTAGAACTACTATACCAGGTATGTACCCCTGAGAAGTATATTCTTTCCAGATGTGGGTTCTTAGGAAGTACCCCCAGGAACTTGGGGAAATAGGGCATATTGAGCCAAAGGTGCTATTGTGGAAATCTTAGTAAGGTACCCAGCTACAGGTGATAGGGGGGAGGGGCAATATTGGTCTTCTAGAATCCTTTCCCACTGGTTCAAAGGTCAGACTGACAGCCTTGATCACACAGAGGCCATCCTTTTCAGGCCACCTCCACTGTAATAGTGACAGGGATTTGACTTCGCCCCCTTTCCTGCCATTCTAGTGTCTAGAGTGGGTAATTCCTCAGACCTCCAGAATAATTTATGCTGGAAAACGCTATTGTGGACAGCCATTTAGGAACCTTCCAGTCCTGACATTCTGTGACTCTTGGGGGTACCAAGCTGCAGAGCACTGGCTTCTGCTACCTGTCATTGATGAGGACTGACTCATATGATTGTCAACTGGGAAAATAAACAAGGAAAAAGTAAATGACACCGTGGCTGCATTGCTTTGCTGCCATCAAAGTGAACTAGAAGTTGAATTCTTAAACTGGATTAGGAGGAATATGGTATTTGTATTGGAATATGCCATGTTTGATAACAGAAGTTCCACTGTTAACTATTAAGCATCGATTCACTAAGTTTCATAGTCATTGAAAGGTAGTGCCTGAGGACCTCCCTTCCATTCCTGCTAACTGCCACATAATTGTATTAACCAGTGATGCTTTCACCACTACATTGGCTATACATTAAGTTATTTCTGTGGTTTTTAATGCATATCACAACTATAGTAAAAATAAATTTGAATCTTACCAAAAGGGAAATACAAAATCCTAAAATTCTAACTACAGTTCTACTCATCTCCATATTTTGATGTTTCTGAAAACATAATATATCTTAAAATCTGGTTTACATGCCTAAAAATACCTTAACATGCATCGTAATGTAACTGTGACTGTGGACTGTCTAAACACCTACCTTGCTTGGGATGTCATAGTTCTTTATTATTTAACTGCCCTCTTGGCCCATCTGGCAAGTTACTATGGCAAAGCATGATGTGGAAATGCCTTTAGAGAAGTAATTCAGACAGTTTCTGAATCTAGAAAGTCAGAAAGACGTATGGAGCGCAAAATGTGCTTCTGCTCCCCCTTCTGCTGTTCTCGTTGCACACTATGTCACTAGAACTTGAGGAGCAGATTTCTGTCCAGAAGGGAAGACTTCTGAAGATCACATTTTCTCTGGGCTTGCAGACAACGCTAACAAGTTCAAGCTGATTATTTCATTGCCTAATAAATTGTCGACATCCTCTGTGACAGAAAATCAATAAGAAACACATCATCATTACATTTCCAGATACTGAACTTTTCTCCAGGGTTTGTTTGCATATGCCTTCCTGCTCATATGTCCTTTGAGTGAGTTCTTTTTATTCCATATGTTAAAACAATTAAAACTGACAAAATCTACACAAAAGGCCTTTCTTCATCAGCAAAGCAGAAGCACGTGACTGTGTTCATGCTGAACCATCACCTGTGATAGGGTCCCTGTGTGCTTCCTGTTATTCATGCAGAGTGTGCAAAGACCCTATAGCATTTCATCAGCAAAGCAGAAGCATGTGACTGTGTTCATGCTGAACCATCACCTATGATAGCGTCCCTGTGTGCTTCCTGTTATTCATGCAGAGTGTGCAAAGACCCTATAGCACTGACTACAATAAAGATTTGCATGTGTTTGTATGTCACTGCAGGCTAAAGGTAAAGAAAGACAGTGGCTAAGACACCAAGCTACTGGGGAGCTAGACGATGCCAAAATCATTGATGGACTGACTGGAGAAAAAGCCATCTACAAACGTCGGGGTGATCTGGAACCCCAAGTAAGTAATGGAGAACTTGGAGCCTCCACCTCTGACCTGTATAGTTCAGCCTTCTCTAAAGATTTCTTGAGTTGTGTCAAAATACCATTAACCTAGAATATGGCATCCACAAAAAGCACCATGTAAAACAGGTAAGTAAAAAGAAAGATATAAATATTATGTACTATTTATTAACAAGTTAGTGTCTCATCAAGATATAGAACACACACACAATATGATAATTTTAGAAATAATACAAACTTTACAAAGGTAGGGGGAGGTTTAAGCAAGCCCAGAAGATTCAAAGCAATAATCCAGAGATACTAATAGCAAAGGTCAAACTCTGCCCTGAGGTCTAACAGGGCTGAGCAAGAGAGTAAATATCAGAGGGTCTGAAGATGCTAGTTTGGAGATCTGAAGAAGGTAGTTGTTCTGGTTTGTTTTTCCATTGCTGTGACAAAACACTCTGACCAATACCAACTTGGTAGGAAAGGGTTTATTCAGCTTACATCTTCTGGGTCACAGTTTATCACTTAGGGAGCCCAAGGTAGGAACTCAGGGCAGGAACCTGGAGGCAGGAACTGAAGCACAGGCCATGGAGGAATGCTGCTTACTGGCTTGTTCCCCTAGCCCCTGCTCAACCTGCTTTCTTATACAACATTGGCCCACCTGCCCAGGGGTGGCACCACCCACAGTGGGCTGGGCCATCCCACATCATTCAACAATCAAGAAAATTCCCCAGAGACATGGCCACAAGCCAGTACAATGGAGGCAATTCCCCAATTGAGTCTCCCTCTACCTAGGTGTGTTAAAATGACAATAAAGCTATCCAACACAGTAAGTCATGGAATTGTGGACTTCGGTAGAGGGAAATCCAACCTTCCTATCCCACCCCAACCCCAGACACCAGCAGAGAAAGAATTGAGGGAACAAATCCCCCAACCCCTCATTCTGACCTGCCAGTCTCCCACTAGCAGAACCTCAAGAAGCCAGCAGCCTAGAGAGCTACTTATGTGACTCCTACAGACTCACTCCCCAAATATGCAACAGGTACCCTGCAGGGAAACTGGGGGTGCTCAGTTACATGTGAATTCCAGGGGATTCTTCAAGTGAGGTCAAAAGAGCAACCTTAGTAGTCCTCTACTGTTTTCTAAATTTAAGGAAACAAGGAATTCTCCCTAAAATGGCTCTAACTGTAGTGAGCACAATTTTAGCCATACTCTCCAAATATTTGCCATACTGTGGCAACAAGGTAAAATATGGAATCTGTTAGTGAACTTTGGGGTTTCCTATGTCCTTAAATAACCAGAACTGCTGAGTGGCTGCTGGGTATGTGCAGTGAATGGCGGGGCAGGGGAGCCTCGCGCTCTCTTTAAATGTTTACTCAGAGAGGATCTGATGGTAATTTGGGACTTCTTATTTCTTTGTCATTGCCATGAGTCAAGCTACTTTCTTTACTGACTCATTGTAGCCTTATGCCTTTGAATGCATATGGAGTGGGGAGTAGTCATGGCCGCATGTGTGGCACTGTTTTTAATTTGAACAGATACAACCAGTTTTTAAGAAATATATTGCATTTGCTTCAAACCATTACCCTCTAATACCTAAAGTATTTCTTACATTTTTCAATATTTATTCACTTATTTTGTGTATATGTGTTGGCATGTGCATGCCATAGCACACATGTGGAAGTCAGAGGGCAACTTGTGGAAGTCAGTTTTCTCCTTCCACCATATGGGTTCTGTCGAACTCAAGTCATGAAGCTTGGCATCATGTGCCTTTACCCACTAAGCCATCTCACCAGCTACCCCACAGTATTTTCTTGAAATTATTGAATCTACTTATTAGTTTTCATGCATGTCAGGAAGTATGTAATGACAAAATAATCTGGAATTTTTCTTATTTGGTTTTGTTGTTACTGACAGACTTTTTTTATACTTTGCGCATTAGCAGATTTGAGTCCCAAATCAAACTGATCTTAGAAGGATTTCACGTTTTGATGGGTAGTCACTGGCAGACAGCAGCTCCATACCACTTTAACTGCCAAGAAAAGAAAAAAGAAGCTGCAGTTCAGTACCCAGAAGAAAGCGCAAGAGCTCACTAAAGAATAAAGATGTTTTAAAAATGTTTCCTTAAGCTCTTTGCCAGACCCCTCTCACATAACCATGTTTTAGAAATCTGACATTTCTTCAGCCTTGTTGGAAAATGGTTTTCAAGTGAGTGCATGGCAGGTATAGCTGAAATGGATGTGGGCTTCCCTCCAAAGTAGCACACTTGCTTGCCAGGGCTGTGAGGCATGGAGTAAAAATGACATGTTGGGGTTTCTATCCTTCCAAATTATTATTTTTAAGTCATCAGCCCCCAGAAGGCAACTTGACTAGATTGGGCTTTGAAAGGACTGAATTCCAAAGGAAAATCTTTTCCATATGGCCCTGAGTACCAGCAGCACAAGTCTGAAATTGCATTTACTACAGCACACCCTCAGCCTCTCCACCACCTGGACAACCTTGTTAGCCTGAGTCTTACAGACCTGCCCACTCGGGCTGGCACTGCAGGCCCTCTGTGAGAGCCTAGGATGGAAGCCACTCATGGTTTTCTGGCTCATAAAGTTTTCTGTCTTTGCCTCCCTTAGCCAGGCAGCCCACAACAGAAACCCAAGCGCCTGCGCCTAGTGGTGGATGTTTCTGGCAGTATGTATCGCTTCAATGGGGTGGATCGCCGGTTGGAGCGGTCAATGGAAGCCGTGTGCATGGTCATGGAAGCCTTCGAGAACTATGAGGAGAAGTTCAAGGTGATGGCATGAGCTGTGATATTGGGAGCATTATTGACCACTTCTGTCCAGAGTCCAGGCTCTGGTGGAAAGGTGGAGGCAGACTCCATCCAGAGGCACAGAGCCCACCCTCTTGCTAGCTCCTTTATCAGTACAGTGAAAGCCTTTTGTTTCACCTGTTCTAATAGTAGCTTAATTTAAAGACCTGATTACCTCTGGTTGCTCCAGAAGAAAGCACTGCAACTTAAAAGTTGTCTGATATTAATCACAGCCTTACTTAGAAAAGTCTATTCTCAGATGTTTCTGAACATTCTATCCCATTACCAGACAGGGCCTGGGCACAGCCTGGGAACATGTTCCCTGCTTCACTTTCCCTTTCCACGTGGTCAGTGATTGAATAGCAATAGATGTCCCCTAGTCCCCAACCTCCAGGAGCAAAGCCTATTTAAAATGTATCTAGCCTGCTATTGCTCATTTTGCCATTGATCCTCCATTTCAGAGTTCTGAGCATGGAGAAGAGAACAGTCATGCTGCTGTGTTGCCATCCGCTATAAGTCAACTAATCTGCTTTTCGCCATCCACAGAGAACATCTACACTGTAGTAGATAACCTTGAACACAATCACATGCCTAATAGTTACTGTCAAACATTGTGTGGAAAGAACTAGTGTATGTCCAGACATCCGTTAGGACACAGTCCCTAGACACTCTAGATTTTGTGCTGGGTCAAACATATTCTTCAGGAAGGCAATTCCAAATCAATTGCTGTTTAACCTGACATCCCACTTGTACCTCAAGATTGTTTTCCCTTCCATATCTGTGTTACACTACATACAAGAGACAAATTGATTTGTCATTTCCTCAGGCTCCTTGTCTCCCAGGGTCCCTCATGAAGTTCCAGGAAAATCCTTTTAGAACTACATGGTGAGGAACTAGCAGCTTCCAGCAGTGAATAGTGTGGTATTGCAAAGCTCTGCATAAGTACAGGGGTTCAAATGTATATAACACATGAACTTACCATGAGAAGGAGCACTGTCTCCCTTGAGAACTAGAATGTGCTTCCCCTGTGATCACTGGAAAACATGGAACCATTCAAGAGTCCCTCTGGGTTCTGTTACAGTTGCCAGGAATCCCAGAGCCATAATCACAGACAAACTCAGGATGAAGACAGAACTGGAAGAAATTTGGGGACAGCCTTTTCTGCTTCTTACTAACACTGTGGTTTAACATCACACAGCTTGTAAGATACAGTGCTTTCTTCTGTAGAAAGCAGAGGTCTTTAAATTACGTACCTATTAGAGCAAGGGAAACAGAGGCTTACTGTCCCTGCACCAATGAGGGCTAGCATTTGGCTTTATCCTTCTATTGACCCTCCTTCACCTCACATGTAACTTGGTTTTGATTCTTATTTTACTTTTTTGTGTATCAAGTGAAATATAGAAAATATTTATTTAAAAAGATTTAGATCCTTTCTATTGTGCAGTATAATGCTTAAATCATTTTGACCGGAGATGACCAATGGGTGGCTAGACATCCATCATATCAACATAAATAACCACATCCACCTAATCTTTAAAAGCCTTCAGACTTTAACCTGTCCCAACATCCCTTTCATTTCCCAAGCTCTTACCAGGCCTTCCCTCAACACTGGCATGCTGGAGACTCTGTATCCTGTTCCCACCATCCCTGTCACAGGTTTGAGTGACCACAGGCCACCCAGTCTGCTAGGACTCCCCAGGTCCACTCTGTAGAGGACAAGCAAGAGATGGGATGGAGTTAAGTATACTCTGTAAGAGATTTTCCTGTTTCTGATTAGCTGTTTGGTAGTTTAAGTTATGGGTACACATAGAACAAAATGTAAAAAGTATAAAAGAAGGAAGAGTGAGGAGCTGAGTGGCCATCCACCCCTCAGCTACCAGCTGAGTCTGTGGATTTCTGGTCTCTCCTAATGAATATTTGATGTATATAGATCAATGTACTTTTTTAATGTTATATGATCATATTTCCAACTTATGTAGTATTTCTATACTCTCATTTTTTCATTTATGGAAGAAGAATAGGTCTGGGAATAACTAGTGAAAAGTTGTAATTACTCAGAATATATAAAATGACTCATGAGTAGATGATGGCTTATGGAGCTCCCAGTGAAAAAATTATATTCCACAGCTCAGGATGGCATCATACATGGTGTCTTTAGGACTCAGTAGTGTAATCTGGTGCCCCTACCCTCAGTTCCAGACAGCTCTTACTCTGGTCTTCCCACAGGTAACCCTGAGCTGTGAAGGTACCTAGTCTGCATTTGCTGTGTAGCCTTCAGAAGCACCTCCTGGCGTGGTGGCCTGGATTCCCCCATCCCTCTTGGCATCTGCTTGTGTTGTGTTTGGCTGGAGCTCAGTGCTGACTTGTGGGTCATTACAGTCTACATATGGGAGGTTCACTTGGAGTCCGCCTCCACTTTTTATTCCACATTAGCATGACCAATGCCAAACCGCAGGGACCCTTGAGCAAGAGTTACTGAGGCAGAAAGATAATTCAGTGGCAAGACATTTGCTAAGACATTTGGAGTTTTTAAAGTTCCTCATAATTGTTCTACCAACTGAATTCAGTTATTCCCAGAACAGTGTTCACAGCTCACTTAAGACAAGAGCAACATGATTTTCTTATAATCAGCGTAAACTCCTCTAGGCCGATAATCATCATCATTTTTATTATTCACATAACGCTTAAACTACAGCAGAGTAGTTAGGATTGCATAAACTGTTTCATTTTGGTCAGGAAGCATTTTTTCCCCTTTACCTTCATTCTGGTTTGTTCCTTGTGGTTTCTTCAAGACCCTGAGAGTGTTTCCACTGTTATCTTAAATAGATCTCAAAAGCTCTTAATGCCTTGATTTTTTTTCAAAGTATTCAGTAACACCAAAAGTTTGGTGACAATTTTTCCACTAAGCATTCAAATGGCACCAGAAAATAGATTGATTTTGTTATTCAGAAATTAGGCTTTGAGAAGAAAAGAACCTAAAATGTATTATTTCTGTGAGGGTACATGGCCATATTGTAAGGCAAACAAATATAAAAAGAATCCTTGTAGGGAGTTTGTGGGGGTAGAGAGCACTTTTGCCCCATATACCCCCACTCCCAGCTCAACCAAAAACAATTCCACTCATAGTGGACTTGTACAGTATTTCATTTGGAGAAAGGATTCACTGCTTTAAAAAAAAAAAAAAAATTTTTTTTTTTTTTTTGGTCCTTTTGAGACAGGGTCTCCCTGTAACTACAGCTGGCCTGAAACTCGCTATAGAGATTTGCTTGCCTCTGCCTCCCAAAAAACAGTGTGTGTGTGTGTGTGTGTGTGTGTGTGTCTCTTTTTGAGACAGCGTCTCCATGTAGCTTCAGCTGGCCTGGACCTCGCTATGTAGACCAGGCTGGCCTTGAACTCACAGAGATCCTCCTGCCTCTGACTCCCGAGTGCTGGGATCACAGGTTTGCCCCACCACCACACCTGGCAAAACAAACATGTTTTAATGTTAGAAAACTACTGTTGTAGGCTGGGAATGTAGCTTAGTGATAGAGAGCTTACCCTGTGTTTTAGTTTCATTCTGTTGCTATGACAAACACCATGACTAAAAATCACTTTAGGGGAGGAAGGAATTTATTTGACCTATAGTTCCAAGTCACAATCCATCACTGAAGGAAGTCAGGGCAGGAATTCGAGGCAGGAACCTGGAGGCAGGAACCTGGACTAATGCTGCTTACTGGCTCACTCTTGGGCTTGCTCACTAGCCTATGCCCAGCTAACTTTTCTATACAGCCCAGGCCCACCTGCCTGGAGATGGTGTCACTCATAGTGGGCTGGGCCCACTATGTCTCATAGACATATCTATAGGCCAATCTGATCGAGGCTAAGGATCCCTCTTTCTAGGTGACTCTAGAGTAACTTGGCAGTAAAAATTAACCAAGGTCAAGTGTGGTGGCACATGTCTTTAATCCCAGCACTCAGAGGCAGAGACAAGCAGATCTCTGTGAGATTGAGGCCAGCCTGGTCTATATATAGTGAGTTCCAGACCAGCTGAGGCTACAAACAAAAAAAGTAACCAGAACACCTAACATATACAGTGCCCTGGGTTCCATCCTCAGCACTGTAAAAAAGATAAAGAAATCCACTATTCTAGAACAATACTGGATTATTATTTATCAACTCTGAGGACTTTCCCTTTATAGACTGAATCATTGATGCTCACTTCACTTGTATGAATCACTCCTCATTTGACAGGTGAATAAGGCATAGATGCTCCTTAAATTATGAGAAGCCATCTTTTCATCCCATCTCTTGGATATACCATAAATTTTCATAGAACCTGGTGGGGGGAGGGTAGGAATTACCTCAGAAATTATTTTTACCAACCTCTCTTTTATAGATGAGAAAATCAAGATTCAAAGAGATTAAACACTTGACCCAAAGTCACACAGCTGGACTGTGAAATGCCAGGACTTCTAACCTCATTTTGAGGATCTTTTTTTAGTTGTTCTATCCTGTTCCTTGTATCTCTTTTAATTATGCCCAACCAATATTTTATAAAAATTAATTCAAGGGGCTGAGAGATGGCTCAGTGGTTAAGAGCACTGGCTAGTCTTCCAAAGGACCTGGGTTTGGTTCCCAGCACCCACATGGCAGCTAACAACCGTCTGTGACTCCAGTTCCAGGGGATTCAATGCCCTCTTCTAGCCCCTGTGGGCATTGCACTCACAGGTCCACTTACATACATGCAGGAAAAACACTTATACACATAAAATAAAAGTAAATAGCTTTTTTTTTTTTGAGACAAGCTCTCCCTGTAGCTCCAGCTGGCCTGGAACTCACTGTGTAGACCAGGCTGGCCTTGAATTCGCAGAGATCCGCCTGCCTTTGCCTCCCAAGTGCTGAGATTAAAGGCATGAGCCACCATGCCCGGCCCTATAAATACATTTTTTAATTAATTCAAAAGTAAATATATCATTTTCATATTTATCTTATCCTTCTCTCTGC